TGGGACATTACCAGAACTTTCGCACTTCCAAAATCACAAAGCTTGACCTGATGAGTGTGAGGATTAACCTGCGAGAAGACACTAAATTCCAGATCAACTAACCAGAAAGCTAAAAGCACATGGAATTGATACAAACCAGTAGGTTCTGAGGTTTAATATCCCTGTGGCACACTCCAACACATCCATGAATATAAGCCAAAGCTCTGCAAATCTGTCATAGTGCATAGGTTTGCATCATAACAATGGTCATGCAAAATGATACCTCTAAATATTGACAGCCATCTCATTTTAATCTGTAGCATGAAGTTTCTTTATCGATAAAAAGTTTAGAAAATTATCAGCTACAGCAAAAGGACGTTGATGTGATCTTGTCATCATCTAAGCACATATCAAAACAAAGGTAACTAGCAATCATAGCGCTTTACCCAAGGAATTTTAACAAAAACAGCGAGTAACATACAAGCAAAAGCATTTCAATGATATGAAGTGATAATTTAGTGGGGGAGTTGTGATATTCCAAAGACTATATTGTGTCAAATTTCCTCACTGGTGATTTTGTCGAGTGATCCTGTTCACAAATAAACAAAAATGACAGGTAGAGTTCCCTAGATGAAGCACAACAAAGCATGCCAGAAATTTTTTGCATAAAAATCCTAACTAGTATCCACATCCTAATACAAAAAGAGTTGAGGATAACCTGATATGTGTAGAGTTTGACATATATCAAGGGCATCCGCTGATTTGCCTTGCTATAGTGCTTCACCACACGATATACAGTCTCAGGGACATACTCAAGCACTAAATTGAGATAAAGTTCATCCTTATCTGTGGTGGAAAAGAAGCAATGTTTGAGTGACACAACATTGGGATGATCAAGAAGGCGCATTGTTTGCAGTTCACGGTTTTTGTATCTTTTATCCTGCAAGACCTTCTTGATTGCTACTGTTTCTCCAGTTTCAAGACACTTGGCCTGTAAAAACAAGAAATCTCCAAAATCAATTTTGTACTCCCTAAAAATGGCTGTCTAGTAGCAATTAACCTAAATTACAAATTATTGGGAAAATTCCACCTGAAACACAATACCAAATGAGCCTTGTCCAACAACACGCTCAGCCATGTAACTTATGGTCTGCAGGTCAATGCACCAAAGTTATAGTGAGAAGGATGGGATAAATTATGAATTTCACAAAATTAAAATTTAAATAAATTGTCAATATGCAAGAAATAAAATGCATATCACATAATGTGAACCATGCTTTTCTAGCATTTCAGGCGGCAAGCATCATTCTCCAGATCTGTAAGAGAAGACACTTGTACGTGATAACATGCAATAAGCCTCATACTATAATACTTTGGTTTTTAACATTAATTTTTACTTTTTCCTCATCAGCAAGACAAAAGGTCAAATTCCAAGAATTAGAGGAAGAAAAACTCTTGGTCTTCTATTAAATGAGCTTATCTCACAGTCTTCTACTTTAGCTTCAAGAGGGCTATATACAACAACAACAGCAACAACAAGCCTTTATCCCACTAGGTGAGGTCAGCTAAATGGATTGCAAGATGCCATTGTGCTCTATCATTTATCATTTATCAAGAGGGCTATATAAATAGATCTAAAAAATATAATTTACAACCTCATAGAAATCTACCTGTTTGGGTTGACCATTTCGACCACCAATTGTAGTGACAATGATGTGGCCAGTTTCAGTTCCATTTCCATCTACCATTGCTGTCTCCATTTCCTATCACAAATGAATTATTAGAGGGGGAAAATTCAAGTTTTAGAAAAGAAAAAAACCAATGTAAAAGACAAAAACAAACAATGAGGAGTTATCAAGAAAACGGGGCCTCTAATACCTTTTCATCCTTGATCTTCATTTCATTGATCTCCTCAGGGAGTTTATCAACAATCATGGAATCACCACCAGCCATTCCAACAGCCGAAGCCATACAAGCTCAACTATCCCAGAATCAGACCTTTCAGTTTTTCAAAACCTTTATATTGGCAGTGTATATCAGCACCATAACCTGCAGAATGGGAAAGAGAGCATTCGATCAGACCCTGTAAAACTGTAATAATTACCAGGTATAGCAGATGATATAATTAAGGATTATAGAAGAATAATCACCAAGCACAACAAAGACATGAAGAACTCCCTATAAGCTAAAAGTGAAATTTAAAGTTGCAATCAAATTGGAATGCAAATCATTAATGGCGTAACTAGCAACACGAGTACTAATTTCTTCATTCAATATTAGAGTAAGCGTGTGTTTGGAAATTAAGCAGGGAAAGGAAGAAAATAAGCCAAGATAATTTTTTTTTAAAAAAAAAGTGATGGTTTTATGATCACTTCTTTTCCCTTAGTTGGAGAAAACCGCCTCATCCAAAATCCGTAAATCAGAGAAACCCAAAATTGTAAAGGAAACAAGTGTGGAGGATTTTGGAAGGTTAGTTGTACTTCTTTCATTACCTTCCCATCCTTAATAATAACTGCCAGAGAAGGGCAAGGTTTTAAGCAACCTTCACTTCCATTCCCCCAACCCCGCCACCCCCCCCCCCCGGGGGGCCAGAATGATCCCCCATCCAAAGACACCCCAGGTAAGTTTGATCATTTGAAATATTTCCAGGCCTTCATCCTCACTGCTTCATGGTTAATAGGGTTAATAGGGATGTGAGACAACAAGCATCACGTACAAACCTTTGAAGAATAATTTTTTTTTCCAGATACGGACAGCAAAAGTGCAACTGTGCAACAGACTTCTTAGTGAGGTGCTGAAGCTAACACCCAAAAACCTAATGGAACTTGCACCCGAGGATTATGAACGAGCGAAATATAATAACTAACAACGTCAGCGAAATTCAAACGTTCAAATAATAGGGTAAAAAAACAAAAGGAAAAGAAAGTCAACAGCAGCGGGTGCGAGTAGCAAAAACTATAGCGAGTAACCTCAGAGAAGACCTCTCAGATGCAAAATAACAAACTGCAGCGAAAGCAAATACCGACATTCAGCTCGATTGCATTACCAGAGACTTTTGGAGGGGGGTTATTTTGTTCTCTCGGAAAACAAAAAAGAACACAAGGGACCACAGAGCTGTGTATGGCTGGCGAGAAAGGGCAAGAAAATAGAGCCATTGTTAAATCTACTTGGCATTCGAATTAAACGAGCTATTGAAGCAACCGTACCAGAGAAGCCGTGGATCCTCCCCAGCGACCTGAGAATACTTTCCCATCCAGCTAGAGAGATGATGAACTTTTCTTCTGAAATTAAATTAAATGCTATCCTCTTTTGGAAGGGTGAAAAAAAGAGCGTGGGGGTGTGTGCGGGGGGGAGTTTCAGAGACTCCTGATAGGGGGATTTGACCGAGACAGACCTGGGCTGTGACTGTGAGAGATGGTGCTGAGAGAGAATGGAGAGGGCAGAGGGCGGAACCAAACAAGTTTTATTGAAAGGAGTTAAGAGGGAGTTTCAACGTCCGCACTGTTGTCCACATGGGAGTGAGGTGTTGGAATTGAGGTTGGGGCTGTTTCTCTCTTTCCTTTAGCATTTCTTTTAAAGTCTGAGTCTGACATAGCGCTCTCTCTCCCTCACTCTTGCCTCGTACAAGCCCTTCTGTGTTTTTGTGCTTCCTAATCATAACACTAACAAGACGCTGGTAAATTTCTTGTAGCGCACATTTAGTACAAGTGTACAACCACTCCCCCTAACCGCCCTTTCCGTCCGTTGTTCCTGTGCCTTCTCTTCCGTGGATTGAATTGATTTTGGGCCTCTAATGTAAACTAACCACCTGATTCTGTACACACCCATCCATTGAGTATGTCCATCAATCAACAATTCAATATTGATGCTTGTACATGAGCAAACAAAATTACGAATAACCTAGTCATTCACAGATAAAAATTAATAAAAAATTTTATTTAAAAAAATAAATTATATTTTTATTTTAATAATAATCTATTTTATATTAATCCTTATTTACAAATAATAGTTCTTGTTTGCAAATAACTTACTGAAGTGATCATTGAATGTGATTTTCAAAAAAAACAAGACATCATGTTTGCAAAGTTTATTTATTTTGTCCGAAAAGTTTTCTAATAAATTATACCACTATTTTTTTTCATAGAATGTATGCTATTGTTAAAAATCTGTAAAACTCAAACAATTAAACTTTCCACGTCATTCCAATTTTCAAATTGAATTAAATTTCAGAGTATATATATATATTTCTTTATGAACATAAAATCTAATATTGCGCTTTTTATAATTTTATATCAATAATTTATTTACAAATATTCTTTTATTTTTCAAAATATGTAATTTTTTTCAATTCAATACTTTATTTTTTTTTCTCATCTCAGTATTTCTTTGTAAAATATAAAACCTCAACAAGTTAATCAACATAAATATGTGATGTGAATGGAATATCAACCTAATAGATAATTTTCGTACGAATTCAAATATGATTTTTTTTTTTTCAAACAGCAATCCAAATAGGATAAGTCACTTTAAGACAGTACTCCGTGTCTCCATCCATTAAAAACTGAGATATTTTTTATGTTCAAAATATAATATATTTTAAATTTTTTTAATATATAATTAATAAATTTTTTATAAAAAACCCTTAATAAATAAATTGATCAGTCATTCATCTTTTACCCTATTAAATAAAGACAAATATAAAAAATGACATTAGTTTAAAAACAATTAATTAACTTATTAAGGTGTATAATTCAATTGAAAATGTCTGGAATTTTTTGGAGGGAGGTAATATTGTGATATAATGTTACCTCAAGCATATATATTCGGCCAAAATCTTTTTGTTACATATTATATTGAATAAATTTTAAACAAAATTTATGGCCACAATTCTAATGATCCCCATGCTTTTCCTTCTGTCTCTATTCAGAACATAATTATCCTCATCATTGAAAATCTTTCCATAGGAAGCTGCTAGTCCGCCCATAGCATAATGTGAAGGTCAATAGAAATGAACCAACTAATAGAAGAAAATGGAGATCAAACATTTATAATCTGAGAATTTTGAAAAGAGCTCACAATTAATTCCTAACAATAAATACATCCAGTCATCAGATACAACAACAACGTCGAATCAGCATCTCCAACATATCCAGAAAAAAGCTGCAGCTCTCTCTAATTTTTCATTGTTTTGAGGACTTCAAAATAGAGATTTCTTGTACGAAATAAGTTCTTCAAATATGAATAAATTTAGCCTGTAAAATCAGGAGCAGTTTTCAATTCTATAGAAGCAGGTAACATCAGGAAAATCGCAGCCGTTGATTGAAGCAGGCAATATCATTTCCCAAATCCAGTTGCAACCCTCTTCCCCCCACGGTTTTCTATCTTCTCAGGGCTTGGGACTCCACTCTCAACTTCGTACTTACTTTCTAAGGCCTGTGATAATTTGAACAAAACCATTAGTAACCCTTTTCTCTAAAGCTGAATTTTTTCGTGCTGCATAGACATGGTAACTCTTCATTCTGTTTGACTAGAAATAAACATCTAGGATCTAGGATTTTTAGAATCTGCCTGACTATCTAGTTTAGCCCTGATAGCAATGTAAAAGATTTAAGTTTCTTTCTCCCAATGGAAAGCTACTGTGTTCATGCATGTGCAAAAGCGAGCATGTAAAGAGGGAGGGAGAAAATATATGGTTCCAACTTAAGTCTGAAATTGCAATTTCAGATTTACTGATCAATGTAAAGGACTATCAGGCCCAAATGCCAGAGCATGAGACTTTTTTAATAAAGTCAAAATTGTCATAACTATCTAAACAAACCATACAAGTCACGTATATTTAATTACAGAGATAAGAAACAGATTTGAATTTGATTAAGGAAAATTCTCTTTGAGAGGGAGAGAATCTGAAAAACCAATGGCCACGGTATAACTCTGCCGAGCTAGTTTGTTAGACTCCCTGATAAGGAAGACCTTACAAGGATTGGAATGACAAAGAATGGTTTGTTTTTCCAAACCTGTAATTGAGCACGAATGCTATCAAGAACTTCTTCAGTCATTCTCTCAAAGAACAGAACTCCCTGTAAACATAAAACAAACAACCAATGGATCAACAAGTACTGACATGGAAATTATTCAAGATTAAGAAATCTTCTCATTGGCACGAAAAATCTTAGACATGCATGATAGAGAACAAATTCATCATTTTAAAAGCTGTAGCGCTTGAATAATTCTGGTTGAAAAACAGACCTGTAGATGGTCAAACTCATGCAGGAAAACCCGTGCAGGAAGGTCTGAGAAGCTGACAGAGAACCTTTTTCCACTGACATCACGTGCATCAATCTTCACAGATTCTGGTCTCTGGGGCACGAAAAGGGAACTATCTTAGGCAGAAACAAGAGTAAATAACTGATGAGGAGACCATTGTAGGCATTGTCGTCAATTAAATGACAAGGGGCATGAGGTCCTTTCATAGAGCACATATTTGGCAAATCCATCATGAGTCTAACATTTTTTTTTTGGACCAAAAAATGGGATATTTATATATCATTAATGGAAGAGAACAAAACAAGAGTCAGAGCCATAAGGCAACGGCAACATAATAATAAGCCAATGAAAGAAAGCTAATAAAAATGGAACAGTTTTTTTGTTACTTGTACGTCACCATATATCGCTGGGAAAGATAGGCAACCCTCATTAAAAAGTGAAAGTTTCTTTGAGTATTTGCTAATTCTTGGATTTATAAGAGCAATTTCCTCTCCTTCACCCCGTACACCAACAGGATTGAACACCATAAGTTGTACATTGACTCCTACTTGGGGTGCTGAAAGTCCAATACCATCAGTTCTGTGGGAAAGGAAAGCAGTCGATATCAACACTTAATATCTAATCTAATATAAAATATAAAATCCATATTAAATGCATTGTTAGTCCATTGCAGACCCACCTTGTTGTTCACAAGGGCGGACGCACGTTCAAGGCAAGGGTGGCCACCCCCGTCCGATTTCCATTTCACCCATACCCATATACACAGTATTGATTCGTGGAATATTAATTTAAATGGAAAATTACATCAATATAACCAGCAATAGTTAGGAGTCTCACTTGTACATTACGTCGAACATTTCGTCGACAAGCTTCTTCAGATTATCATCAAAGCTATCGATGCGCTTATTTCTTAACCTCAATCTTGGGTCTGGATATTTCACGATTTCCAGAGGAGCCTCGAACTGAAGATCGGCCGCTAAAGAAATCAGCAGAGTTCGTCCAATTAGTGCCTCCAAATATCAAAGCCTAAAATCTTAGCGAAATCCAGTTCATACAAAAAAGCAAGTTTATGGGATTGGCCAGTGAGCTTACAAGAAGCAACTTCATCTTCTTTAGGCGAAAACCCTCTTTTGGCCATCGCTTGAGGAGGAACCATAGAAGGTCTTGCGTGGCACGAGGAATAGAAAGCACGACAGTGAACGGAAGAATTGTGCAATCGATTAAGAATGGTGAAACGGGCAGGTCGCCGATTGAGAGCGGGAAGAAGAAAGTGCGTTGAGAAGAGCCTAGTGACGCCCACCACATCCATGGCCACAGGCGTACTCTTCTGCCCAAGTCATGAGGAGGAATGTCAATTCTGTTAGGGGTGAAAGGGATGCGTTTTGTGATAGTAAGAGGGAAACATATCCATACATTCCTGTAGTTTTGTTTTATCGATTTTGTTTTCACTTTCTATAATTTTTTTTAATATTTTCAGTTTCTGCAATTTTAAGTGATTTTTTTTCTCAGCTCTTATAATTTTAGTGTCTCAGTAAAAAAAATATAAAAATTAAAAATAAAATCTTATGAAACTATAAAAATCAATAATTATATTTTTTTATAATAATAATAACAATGACGAATGTTCTGTTGTTTGTGGAAGCGTGTGGCTTTTTGGATGGAGAAGATGAATAAGCGAATAAGATGCCATATGAAAACTCCAACAGCCATCTAATGAGATCAAAATGTTACAGTATTTAAACATTGGTGAAATTGTGAATAAGACTGCTCAAATGTTTGGTTTGGTTTTGTTTTGTAAAAAAATCAAACCAAATCAAGCCAATCAGCTCATTAAATTTAAGATATATTTAATTTTTTTTCTCTAGTTGACTTAGTTCAATTTTTGAGTGGTTTAGTTTGATTTATGGTTGATTTAAATTTAATATTTTTTGTGATATATTTTTATGATTGTAAATATTTACTAATAATTTTTTACCATTAATTACCATTTTCAATAAAAAAATTTAACAATTAATCAGCATATTTAATTATTAAAAATATTCCCTCCATTTAAAAATATAAAGTATTTTTAATTTAATTTCACGTCATATTAAAGTATTTACTTGTCTTTAAATTAATAATATTTTTTTATATTTACACTTATTTAATATGAGATTTCACCTTAAAATAAATATAAAGTGATTTATTTAATACAAGTATTTAAAAAAATAATAATTATACTTTAAAAAAGTAAAAACATATTATATTTTTATCTAATATTAAAAAATGCTTTTTATTTTTTAATAGAAGGAGTAACATATCATCCTCAGAACACTTGATTGTAAATTTTAAAAATTATCAAAACAATTATAAAAAATATTTAGTTAATTGTAAGAGATTTTTATTAGTAATATACAAATAACTAACCTTATGGAAAGAACTTAAAATTTTTTTATAAAAATATATGAAATAAATATAATAAAATTTGGTTCAAGATTCAAAATAAAAAAACTTGAATAATTGAATTGAACTAAATTATTTAGTCTTGCTAAAAGGAAAACCAATTCAAATTTAATTTTATTTATAATCAGTTTTGATCATTTTATGTTAGTTTTGATTTGATTTAATCCAATGTAATTGATTTGTATCGGTTTTAAGCACTCTTAATTTGTGAGTGAAATTATGTCTGATAAATAATATTAAAATGACACATATATCTGAATTTTGAAATTTATATTTTTGACTGGTGGCTCCCACCCTTGTCAGATAGGGCCTGAGGCAGCAGGTTTCATGATGTCTGAAACGGGAAAATTAATCCCATCCTCTAATTGGCCAATCCATTAAATTTTATATATATATATATATATATATATTTTAAAAGTGAATTTTATAAACAAAAAATTATTTGAATTAATAATATTTTATGTTTTTGAAATATATTTTTAAATATACAATGATTAAAAAAGACATTGATTTATAATAATTAATAATTCTTGTTATATAAATATGATATATTAAAAATATTTTAAAAATGTGAAAAATTATAAAATAACATAAAATTTATAGTAAATTAGTTCAATGGCCATGAAAAATACAGTTTTTTTAAATTATAAATGAAATTTTTTAATATTTTGAAATATAGCTTATTTATAAAATTAATTAGAAGTAATTTTTCCTTTTTATCCACAAATAGACATATTATTAAAATGCTTTACATAAATTGATTCACGAATATATCTTATATAACTAACTAAATGATTTTAACTTTTAACTAATTGAATTAAATTCATGTACACACATCCATCATATCTCCTTCTTTTCACAATAATTCTTTTTCCTTTCTTGACGGGCGGAGGAATCAAGGAGAGATTCACATATTGTTTTTTTGTTGTTCTAACAAGCGCACACGTCTTAACATGAATAGTTCAATTTTGTGCCCTTTAAACAGGTCTCATTGTTAGGCTTCCTTGTGCAAAGATAAATATAAACTTAGAACTTTCATTGTAGATGAGCATCTAGTTTTTCATGATAAGTTAAGATGTTTAGAATTTTTTACTGCCTGTATTTGATCTATTTTAGATAAATAATTATATTTTTTTTCATGTTTCTAATCCATGATAATGTATCAATTGTATGCAAATTGTACATCACTAATAAACTATGTCAGTAAAAAAATTTTAATGTCATTTAATCTCATGAAAATGAGAATGCTCAATCTCATTATTTTTATGATAGAAAATGAAATTTATTAAGTTAGGTATTTAATTCTCTGTGACAGGTTAAGATGTCTAAAATTTTGTTATGGACCGTGTTTGATATGTTTTTGACAAATAATTATATTTTTTTTCATGTTTATGATCTACAATAGTATATTAATAATATACAATTGTATATCATCAATAAATTATAACTTATCAACATCATTTAATCTTTTAGATATGAAGATACTTAACTTCGCCATTTTTTTTAAAAGAGCGTCAATCAAGTTCTATTCCATTTTCAAGTATTTAAAAGAAGATTTTTGTTAAAAAAAATATTTAAAAGAATGTCATATTACTTGCACAAAAAGTAGCTTTGCCATATAAAGCTCAACTAAATATTAAAATGGTTATAATGAAAAATATAATAAATGTTAAGCTATTTATTGAACTTAATTTTATAAAATAGGCTATACTTACAAAAGCTCCTAAAATTTAATTTGTTAAATAGCGAGAATAAAAAATATATAGTCTAATATTAAAAAATTTATGTAATAAATAGTTTAATATTAACAAAATTATGTAATAAATAGTTTAACATTCGTTAATATTAAATAGTTGTATGATTAACGGTTTAATTGATAATGTATAATTTAATCTCTAATGCATAATCTTTAATAAAATTGTGAGTTTTATTCATTTTTCTATCAAAAATCACACTTAAAAGTGCACTTAAAATTGATAATGAAAATATATGTTTGTTATTATTATCGTGAGTGTTAACTATATTTTCATCATCAAAGCTCTTAAAGTCAAAATCAATTGCAGGTTGTCTTCTAATAAAATTATATAGAGCTATTATTGCACCAATTATTCAAACTTGCATCACAAATGAATAATTAGGCATGTGCCGTAAGATTGTGATTTTTTTTTTCAAACCTCTAAAGTTTTTTTAATCATGTTCCTTAAACTTGAATAATAATAATTAAAAACTCCATTATTATTTTCAAATTCGGATGAACACTTAAAATGTGAGAGGTATTGCCTATAAGATTTATAAGAGCTTAAATATTCACATAATGTTAGATAACCAGTATCCATCTAGTAATGTTTGCATACCAATAAAAATAGAAATTATTAGAATTAATTAAATATTAAAATAAATTATTTTAAATTAAATAAATATAAAACAGGGTTGATAAACTCACATTTCAAATTCATAAAAAAATTAGATTTAACAAATTCACTTTCTAATTTCATTCTAACCCACATTTAAAATGTTATTTTATTCATTTAAAAATTATTCAAATGACATTTAACATATTTAACATATTACAAGCTGAAAAGTAGATTTTAAATGCCAAACCTTATAAAAGTGTGACAAAATTAGAATTTTCACGAGGTTAAAATATTTTATAAGCTTCCGGAACGATCCAGGACAATCAAGAAGGCACCGGAGTCTTTTAGGATACGCCGATATGACCTTGAAAGACTTAGATATCTCTAGAATAGTGTAAAAAGCACTTGAAGTATCTAGATTATTCTAGGGATATCCTATTCTTGTACATTCAAGAATTCTTCTTGTAAATATCAAGATATTCCTTGTAGATATTTCTATAGATAGAATATATACCGTTAGATCGAATCAATCCTAACCGTCCATTAAGGAGGTGGGAATTTTCTAGAGAAAGGGGGAGGCTTATAAATACCCCCTCACTCCTCATTTATAACCACTCAAGCAAGTAATAAAACTCTCGAGTTCATTCACTCAAACTCTCTACTCTCTACTTGTGCATCTAACTCTCTAAGTCCCTTTGCCTACTTTATGGATTTGGCTAATTTAGTCACGATCAAGAGGTTGATCAAGCTAAGGCCGTCACGGTTCAAGGAAAGGAAAGTTCCAAGGCCGTGACAACATGGTATCAGAGCCAAGGTTTGAGAAAGCCGTGGTTTCGATAGATACTCATAGGCAAGGATGTCGAGTGTAACTGAGGAGACTCTTGCTCACGACGAGGAGAAGGGATGGGAATCCTAACTTCCGCACCAAGGTGGTAGGAAGGCACGAGGCACTAGTAAGTTACGTTCAGAAGACCTTACTATACTCTCCATAAAAATTGATGCCTTAGAGAAAGCTATAGAAGAAATGATGGGTAGAGTAGAGAAGGTTGAGGGTGATATGGGCATGTTGGAGGACCACACTCTTAAAGAATTTGATGAGTTAAAGAGTAGTATGGATACCTTACAAAACTCTAAGGATCAACGGGAGGATGCCGTGAAATCCTTGGAGGCAAAGGTGATGGATGCCATCACCACGATGCAACAACAGCTTAACACTCTCAAGACTTCCTTAGAAGAAAAAGGAAGAAACCCACTATTGGATGGAAATAGTGGAATAAGGAAAGTCAAGTTAGACCTTCCTAAGCCTAAGGAATTCAAGGGGTACGAGATGCCAAGGAAGTTGAGAACTTCTTGTGGCAAATGGAACATTATGCTAACACCTTGGGGATGATTGATGATTAAACCAAGGTGCGCACCGCTGCTTACTTCCTTGCAGATAATGCCATGCTATGGTGGCGAAGGAAGAATGCAGACATGGACAAAGGGCTTTGCAAGATCAATACTTGGGAGGATTTTAAAAAAGAATTGAAGAGGCAATTATATCCAGAGAATGTGGTCCACGAAGCACGAAAGAAATTGAGGGATCTCAAAC